GCTACAGAAGAAAGAGCCTATCTATAATCCATACGGTCTTCCCCCTGTCGGCCAGCTAGAGTATAGGTATTTATAGGTTTCTTTCTTTGGGCTGTTCCGGTACTTCCTTGTAGAACTAAAAGAACTATTTTGGGGTTCCAAATTCTAATTTCTAACAAATGGGTCCGCTGCTTTATGTCCAGTTACTTTTTTAAGCGAAATAAACAATACCTTATATAAGAAACTTGTAGGCCAACTTGATCTTTGAGTAATTAATAAGAGATGGCTTAGAGTAAAATTTTAATTGGGTAAAAAAAAGTGTTAAATTGGGGTATTTTTAAATATTTAAGTGGTTTTAACCTTTTGATTATCTATCTATATTTTTTTTTATGTTAAACTTTTTAGTATTCAAAAGTCCACTATAAAAGAAAAACTACCTTAACACTTATCTTTATATTTACAAAACTTGAATTTAAGACCTTATTTTAAAAGAATTAACAATTAAGTTCTTTTCACTTTGACCAATAGATTGTTGATATTATTTATTTATACTATATATCTAAAGATTTGGGATTTTCTAAAAAGTAAAATGGAATTAGCAATTTTAAATTGTACATAATTAAATTAAGAGATTAATATGTATTAGTCCTAATTTCCAAAAAAATTAGAGTCTCAACTTATATCTGAAAACCAAAATCCTAATTTAAAATTTAGAAATTTATACTATTAAATGTTGATATCTAAATTTAAAAACCGATTATATATTTTAATATAATTAGTTTTTCAATTTAAATATCAATATTTAATAAGATAGATTTTTAAATTTTGAATTGAATTTTAATTAAGTAAAATGATAGTAGTTTAAGATTGAGGCTCTAATTATTTTAGAAGTCGAGACTTAATATGCAATTTTCCCATAAATTAATAATAACTCTTTTTTTGATACATTAAGACTGCACAAGAAACAAATAGCCCTCCAATATACAATATCAAACTCTTAACCTAACAGCCTTATGGGGCATAAATTAGTAATAACCACATCAAAGCAACGGATCGACTATCCTCCCCTAAAATCACAAAACAAATATGGTAATTGTTATCCCAAAAAATCTCCTTAACACATGATAAGTGAAATGACGTGCCACTTGCTTTACTTAAAATGAGAAAGACTTTTATGATGATATATCCTCTCTTCTTCCAAGCGTAGAACTCAGTTATGAGTTGACAAAAGAATATCGTGAATTGTGCCTAATGATCAAACAATTAGTAGAAATGAGAGATGAACTTCTTGCACTAAATGAGTTAAATAGCAAAATGCCTTGGATGTGTCTCCAAAGATTCCTCCAAATTGATGTAATCAAGAAAAGCTAATATTGCAAGAAAAATAAATGATCGCCAAGCTACTAAAAATCTAAATGAATTTTAGAAATGCTAATTGAATTGAAATAGAGCTGTAAAAAGAAAATCTAAATCCAGAAAAATGAATTAAACTAAAGTAAATGAAACTGGGAATATGGAAAATCTATTGGTAGTATAAAATATAAATTAATAGAAATAAAACTGAATATGAAATTAAATATCGAAATTACTTGATTGAATCAAAAGAAACTAGGAAATAACAAAGGAAAGGAAGCAATCCGGTTATAAAGAAATATCACTAAAGGCAATGAATCTTACCATTACAAAACCAACAAAAATAGAACTAAATTGCTTCCTCAGAAAACTGCAACCAATTTATGAGATTTCTAAACAACAAAACATTAATCTAAAGTTGAAGACTAATTTAGTTTTAAAGTGTAGAGCTAAACTAAATTAAAGGGCTTGAAACTAACATGAATCTAAGCATTAAAAGAAATTGTACTAAGCTTATTATATGAGAAGTATATTTGTTTTGCTTGGTCTCTTCTTTCTGTCTTTATAGCAGGAAACACCCCTTGGCAGGATAATGGAGATTTGCAGCACCATCTTTAAAACTAACGGCAAGGTGAAATCTGTAACAAACTAATTAACCTATTGGTGCTAGTGATTATGCTCATAGAAATTCATAACAAGCAAACAATTTTGTTGTTAAAATTGCTAAAACTTATACAGAAGAGATTTTGATCAACAACTTTTCAACAAACAAAATTCCTTCAATATGGATGATACTTTGACCATTCTATTTGTTGCGAAATTAGGTGTAAACAGTAACCTATAGTGATTATAACAATGCGCACACGGAACCAAACCATTCTCTCCTTAAACCCACTGCAAGAAACATTGCCAACCCTAGCCCTCATTTTCAAGCCGCATACAACTAATTAAGAAGAAAAAATTAATGGGGAGAGCACAAAAGAAGAAAATCAAAGGGAACAAAACATCGCAGTGGATTGGAAGTGGAATCGATGGAAGAGATTGCCATTGTTTCTGAGGAAAATACCATATGACCCTAGCTGTGGGTAAGATTTATAGGAGATATAGGTTTTGTTTGGTTTTATTAAATCCATCAAGCCAGGATTAAACTAATCTAATCTCTATCGTTACTTATAATATTATGTATAACTCATTCATCTCTCGATCTATCGATCCTCTCATTATCTTTGTTTAATGTTAGCTGTTCGAATTTGCTTAGGTATTTTGTGCGAACCGATCCAATCGTCCCCTCTAAGGATTGTCCGCCACCGGATCCCAGCCATTACTTCCATCTGTAAGATAGGAATAAGATGGGTTTTGTTTTGTTTTGTTTGGGTTTTGAAGATTTCCAATATTAATCCATCAAGGCAGGGACTAATCTAATTGTTAGTTATAATATATATACATATATACCTAATTAATTTCTCTTCTTTCATATCTATTAATTCTCGATTATTTTTGTTTAATTTTAACTGGTTGGATTTGCTTAGTGATTTGATACATCATTTTTTATGCACTTCCAGAGAAGTTGTTTAATTTCTTTTATTGTGTTGGCACTGAAAATAGATGGTATAATTTTACTCA